GGGGGCACGAGCGCAGGCACGTTTCCTTTCTCACCGCGTGTGGGTGCCCGAGCCGCCCATCTGGAAGGCGCCGCCCCTCTGCACGGCGAGCCGGGTGTACTGCACGCCGCGGTTGCCCCCGAGGCGGCTGGTGAAGGCGGGCGAGCGCAGGATGGCGGACAGCGCCGAGGAGCTGCTGTGGCCGAAGAGCCGCTCGTGCATGAGCTGCCGCTGCCGCGCCTCCTGCTCGCGCCGCAGGGCCTGGGCCTCGGCGGCGATGTCGGGCGGCATCACGGCCAGCACGCTGTCCTCCATGTCCTCCAGCACGCTCCGCCGCAGCTCCGACGGCAGGGTCTGGATGAAGGTGACGGGGTCCATGTGCTGGTCGCCGCCGGCGGGCGCCTGCGAGAGCTCCCGCCGCTGCTGCTCCGCCCGCTGCTGCGCCAGGACCTGGGGGGGGGAGGGAGAGGGGCGTCAGTGCGCCGCGGAGAGAGGGAAGTCGCCAAGAGCCCAAAATCCAGAGACGGGGAGGAAGAAGAAAGCGGGAAGGTGGTGTAAAAAAAAAGAGAGAGAGCTTGCGAGTGAGAAACGAGGGCAGGACTGACCTCTTCCTGGATGGCGGGAGGCAGGGCGGCCAGGAACTCGGGGCTGACCTCTGTCACCCCTGCACTTCCCACCAGCGGGGGTGTGGGAGTGGGCAGGGTTGTCGTAGCGACGGGGCGGGCAGGCGGCCGGATGCCCAGCTGGTTCTGCAGAACCTCTCGCCGGATATCCTCCGGGAGGGCTGCCAGGAAAGAGGGATCAACGCCCTCTGGGAGATTAATCCCTGGGACAGAGAGAGGAGCAGTGGGGTTAATGCAGAAGGGTTTACACTACTGAGACGGCAGCTCACAGCCCCAGGTCTGGGGTCTGCGCTTTCTTTTAGACTCCCGGTTTTACTGTTTCGGCCCTCAGTCCTGGGACTTCAAAGCCCTTTGTTTCCAACACCAGCACACAGGACGGTAACCAGCCTCTGCCTTCATCTGCCTGCTCCTCCCCGTCTATGACTCGGCAGCTCCTCACAGACGAAGAGTTTGATAAACGGAGGCAGGTGGGAAGAGAACCTATTGCATCAAACGTGCCCACCAGGAAATTTATTTCCTCCTCCACAGGCCCTGCAGGCTATTTCGGGCAACATGCCTGAATGGGGGCAGTTCTGAGAGCCGAACATTACAAATCCCAATCGGCTAAACGAGAGCCAAAGCATTTTTAAAAAACAGGCTTCAGATAGAAAACTGAAATCAATAAGCCTGTGAAGAAGAACTCAGCTAAAGCACAAATCAATAGACAAAGGGCTTAACACAGAAGCTGGGAAGGAAACCATTGTATAGTCAGAGAGTTTACAACTGATGGAAATAACCACTGTGACAACAGCAACAGGAAAGGAATAATTTGGACGGGAACAGTTTAATGCCCATCACATTGACGCTGTCTAAGTGTGCTCACCTGCCAGCGGGTCTTCATCCTCATTGCTGGTGGAGGGCAGGGGCTCTTCCTGGATGGCCTGTGATTGGCTGTCAACGGTCTCACCCTGAGGCAGGGTCTCTCCAGGGGAGGAGACAGGGGCGGAGCTGCAGGAAGGAGGGAGGAGAATGCAGGACTTACAAGTTGCCTAAATGCATACATCATCTCGTATGGCAAAATTAGGCACTGCCACCTTTTTGTGTGTGCGTTTCAGGGTGAATCTGAGCACTGACCTAACGTCTCCCTCTCTCTGGCTGTCGGGCTCCACGCCTACCCCACCCCCCGGCAGCTCCCTGGCTCCCTCATTGGCTGTTGCCGTGGCGGCAGGCTCCTCCAGGGTCCCGGCAGAGGCGGGGCTGCTGGTGTCCATCGGAGACCCTTCAAGCTGAGAACTGACGGCAGTCAGCGCGTCCGAGCCCTCGACGCGCTCCGGACTGAGAGAGGCTGGGAGAGAGAGACGGGGGAGAAAGTCTCAGCTGACGACGGTCATTCAAAATCAGCAACGTTGTGTCTCAGCTCTTCAAGTGGCTCTCAAAACGGCACATTGTCGTCGGGCAGTCCGAGTAAGCCGGTCCCGCTCACCGATGGTTGGGGCGGGGGACATTTCCATCTGCGTCGCCTCGGCCTCGCTGCTTGGCCTATCAGACGCCGGCAGCTCTGGGAGCTCCGCCCCCGACAGAGCCGCCAGCGCATCGGATCGTGTCTCGGACAGCAGCCCTCCCTGCAGGAGCTCCGCGATGGGCTGGTGCTGCTGGGCGACTGCGGTCTCCAGGGTAACCAGGGCATCGGGGGCGGTGGGCGTGCCCTCGCCCGAGGGCGGCGCGGTCAAGAATCCCTCAGATCCCCTGGGGGCGTCGAGGCAGGACGACACACACTGGGCCTGGTCACCCTCTTAAAAAGCAGAGGGAGGAGGGAACAGAATGGGAAGGGAGGAATGGGAAAGAGAAATAGTAGTGAGGGAAACAGCAGGAACTGCAATAAAAGCAACATCTGGCAACATCAGCATCTGAGTCTGAACGATTATTACCCCAGTTCCCAGTATCTCATCTCCTCCGTGTTCCTGTGGGATTTTGGGTGGGGGGGATGTGTGGAGCTGCTCCACTGGGGAAGGCAGTAAGTTGTATAGTTATCTCCGCAAGGGGGCACGCATCCCAAACCCCAACAACAACACAACTTACTACCTCACCCCAGCAGAGCCCTGGTCCTCCTCTCAAGAGCTACACCCAAAGGGGGGGAGGGGGGGGAGAACAACAAAGACGCACAGACAGCGTACAACATGTGCGTAAACGAACCACACAACCATACAGAAAAAACAGACGCATTGTCATATACTGTAGCTGATATCAGGCCAGAGCTAGTATCTGGCGAGGCCACTGCTGTACACTCTCCATGCAGAGCTGATCTCAGGTTCTGACTGGATAGTAGTGATCGATCTTCTCCGCGATTGACTGTGGGGCTCTTTCCTTCTTTTACTCCTCCTGCCAGAAGCGATCTGCTGCTCTGCGGGTCGCCGTGGGAAAGACAGTAGGCTGTATAGTTATCTCCGAGATCGGGTATGATCCTAAAACTATACAAACTACTACCTCAGCCCACAGCGCCCAGACTGTCCGTCCCTCGGGTGTCTCCGCACTCCGTTTATTTTCCTGTAAACCTGCTCAGTTAAAAGGTTGCCAAGTCCAGTCAACCACTGTGGAAAGCCTGCAAAAGTGATGCACATGTTGCTTGCAAAAAGGAGAGAGACAAGTGTGTGAAATGCGAAGGCACGTACCAGCAGAGTTCTGTCCTGTAGCACCGACGGCACGCATGCCCGAGCCCTGTTGAGTTAAAAGGGCAGAGGTGAGAAAGACTCAGGGCATTGCTGTGCAAACCCATAACTAAAGCCCACACACAAAGAAACAGGTTTTGACTGGAAAACAGGGTGAAATGCGGGTGATCGTATGCAATCGCTTCTGCAAAGAAGCAAGGGTGCCAACTTGAACAGGAGGCTCGTAGGAATCTTGTCCTTTCTTCGCTAACCTGTAGGCTCTGCTCCCGCCCTTCCTCTCCTCCGCTGGGCGCTTTCTCGCTCTGCTTGGCCTCCTCCTCCTCGGCCAGCTGCCTCCTCCTCTTCTCCCTCCTCTCCTCCAGCTCCTCGTCCCTCAGGCTCTCCAGGTGCTGCATGATGGGCACCTTCACCACTGAGAGGGTAGTAGACGAGGAGAAAAAGACACAGGGAGGGAGAAGAGGGACACAGAGGGGGATATAATAAGAAAGAGACCAGCCACAGAGAAAGAAGCGGTTATTCAAGAGTTTGAGGCTGCACTGTGAACACTGTAGTGGAAATTCTGAATGTTCAAGACCGTGTCCTCAAGAATCTAGTGGGCATATGGGTTATTAGAAAACTATTAGACAAACAACAGATTCAGGGAAGTTGCCTATGATGGACAACAGACTGAGTGTCCTACCTGCCACGCAGTCGTGCATGCTTTCAGCATCCAGCACTTTGCACTCATCGGTCCAGCGGGTCAAGGCCGTGGGGATGCTGGACAGCGTGCCTGACAAGACAGACGGTATGAAAGATAAGACACAGACAGGGGAGCCATAGGAACACAGAGCTGTCCTTCCGAGCTGCTTCATAGTCTCGGCCTGATTCCTTGTCCTATTGTGGCTCTTCTCCCAACAACCACCCCCACCCCCTCCACCAAATCCTCCCTCGTTATTCCATCCTCCCCCCCCCTTCCGCTCTCCCCACCCGCCTCACCAGCCTGTCCGCCGGTGCTGCTCTGCTCGTGGAAGAAGTCGTCCAGCAGCTCGTCGTCGGAACGGGCGATGATGTGCACGTCGTCGTTGCCGACCAGGAGCCGCGCCCTGCCCCGGGACTGCAGGGGCAGGCTGCTAGACAGCTGTAGGATGTCGGCCGCGGCGCTGGGGCCCAATAACCTGGGGGGCCGGCAGAGAGTGAGAGAGGTGCAGCAGAGCAGGTGGGGGGAGGGGAAAAGGGGACCAGGCAGAGGAGGAGGAGGCAACAGAGGTTAGAGAAAAGGGGGGAAAAAAGAGAGGAGGGCAGGAACAGAGAGAAGGAAAAGGGAAACAGAAGAGAGCAGGTAAAAAGTTAACAAGATTGTACAGAAAGAAAACTGCAGAACACAAACACATGCACACCATATGGAGATATGGGGGGAGCAGGGTGCTCAGTAATTGCAGCCAAGTGACAAATACACCCCGACTGGGAGGGGTACCTCTGCAGGATGAGGGGGGGGTTGGGCTGTCGGTTGCCAGGGTAATGCACGTGGATGGTGTGCCCGGTGTTGGCGGTCAGCTGGCGTAGCGTGCGCTGGCTGCGGCCAATGCCCTGGGCCAGCCGCCCTCCTCCGGCACCGCCCCCGAGAGTCAGGGTGCTGTGGTCGGCGTGTCGCACCATCAGAGGATGGGTGCTCGGGATATTGCCGGGAGAGGGAGGGATGTCAGCTGGAGAGAGAGAGATAACAGAGACTATTTTTAAGCCAAATTAAATATACCATATCTCTGTTCCAATCACATCATTATCAGCGTCTACACTACTTTTCACCCCGTGTTGCTGAATTGCATCTAAAACAGTTTTACATACAGCGTTATCTTTTACTGGTGGGGAAACTGCTATCCTTGCGATCCTGATGATTTCCGTGCAGTGTATCAGCAGCGGAAGGCAGTGCCATTATCAGGGAGTACTTCCCTGTGTTATAAACTTCGCTGCCGGTCAGGTAGCACATTCTCACCTGTGGTGGAGAACATGTTGTCAAACTCGATGATGAGGTCATCGTCGCGGTCGAACCTCTCGAACCGGATGTGCGGCGCAGTGTTGATGTCGGGATAGTCTTCATCCAGCTCCATCTCTGAGCCGTCGTCGTCATCATCCTCATCTCCCTCCTCGTCATCCTGGGAGGGAGGGGGGAAGAAGATAGAAAAATAAGGGGTTATGATACATTATAGCCATAGCCTGTATGATACAGAGAGAATTCTCTCCAGGGGCTGTCCGTTTTCCACCCTCAGTTTGCAATCTGTGTACAGGGGCTGACCTGGTCATCCTCCTCCTCTTCCTCCTCCTCCTCTTCTTCCTCGTCCTGGCTGTCCTCGTCCTCATTGCTGCCGCTGCTGTCCTCCTCCTGTGTATGCTCCTCGTCCTCTGGCTCCAGGATGTTCATGGAGTCTGAGAGCCAGAGTGCGGACAACAGTGCTGTTACTGCAGTACTACAGCAAGGAATCAGCCTGAACACTGTAGAGGAGTCCTGCCGTAGCAGGTAATAAAGCCACCACATACAGAACAGAGGTGTTGTCATGTTGTACTTGTACAACCACTATATTACTTTTTGTTGCAATGCAACTCCAACAGTATTGGAGGAAAGGGTCTATTACATTGTAATTACACTGGACATTCCAACACAACAAACAGATGACCCGGTAATTACAGAGTTAGTACAGCGCTGCTGCACTGTGTTATGTTATTTCAGTTGGTGTTACGACGTGTTATCATACAGTCATTACCCTCTCGGTTGGCCTGCAGCGTGGAGGCCTGGCTCAGGTTGGAGGGAGCTTCATCCATCAGAACGTCCTCCTGCGACTCGTCCTCGCCGCTGCGGCCCACTGTGTGACAGGTCCAAGAGCCCATCAGTTAAGCTGCTCTTTTCAGATTCTCAAATGATGCACACATGCTCTCTCCTGTCCATCCTGCTCCCCCCCGCCCCCTTCTCTCCCTCTCATTTTCGGCCTCAGTTGACAACAGTTCTTCATTCTCCCTCGCCCCTTCGCACTCCTCTCCCTTGTCGACCTGCTTTCCTGCTCTCGGCAATAATACCATCACCGGATCTCTCCATTTTCCTTTTTTTCCTCCTCCCCAAATCCATCCCCTCCCTTCCCCACCCCTCTCCCTGCTTCTCACCAATGATTGCACTGTTCACAGTCCCAGCGTCTCTCTCCAACAGCTCATCGATCAGGTCCACCAGCTCGTTCTCCACCTGGAGCACACAGAGTTTAGACTTGAAGCCGCGAGTCACATATTGTGTAGAAAAGCGAGTGCAGTGTTACGCACAGAGGTGTGGGCGTGTGGTGTGCAGGGCTGCACGGTGTTACACACTACACATTGTACGGTTGCGTGCCGGACTGTTGTGTAATTTGCTGGGTGGGGCATAGCCTGCTGTGTACTGACCTGCATCTCCTGCGTGTTGAGGACCTCAGGCTGTCCGGCAATCACCACGGTGTCCCCCTCCGCCTCCCCATCCATGAGGTCGTTGTCCGTCCCCGCTGCCGGGGTGCTGTCCTCCTGCGGCTCAGCCTCTCCGGGTTCTCCTGAGACAGAAGGAGGAAGGAGAGGTAAGGAGTCTTTTAAATATTCAGCAGTCTGAAATATCAACAACGTGAGACCTCGGGAACTCGGCTGGGTTAATTTAACCCTCCTGATCGGGGTTTTGGGTCAGTGCGCGTGACCCGTGCCCTGCGCGGCGCTGGGTCAGTGCGCGTGACCCGTTGACAAGCGTGGTAGAGGTCAGTGTGGCCCGGCGTACGTTACCTGTGTCCTGCGTGTTGCTGTTGCTGTCCCTGGCCGTTCCGGCGGTGTCCTGCTCAGTCTTGCTCTTGCTGGAGGTGCTCTTGCTCCCAAACAGGCTGCTGGGCTGGTTCACGATCCGAGAGAGCGTCTCCAGAGGCTTTAGGGCCGCGTTCACTGTGTTGGCCATGTTAGGACTGAGGGGGAGACAGACAGGCAGGTGCTATCAATGAACACATTAGCTGCATAACGCTGCTGACACTCACACCATCAATTAACAGCAAGGTACACACCAGAAAGGACAAGAGGCAGTCACACAAGACGCTGAGCACATATGCACCCAGTTCATGCAGAGATTACCATTGGCCCAATTCATCTCTCCGGTGACCTGCACAAAATTCCAATTGCTTTCGACAAATGACTGACTACTTCCTTCCCTGGAGGATGTTACCCTCGCAACTGTGCTTCAACGTCAACGTTAGCCTCTAGGACCAAGAATAAGGCAATCATCCCATCCATTACATTTTTAATGAGATAAGGAATCAACCCCGAATTCCTTGAGGAGGTCTCCCGAAATCTCCACAGAGACAGTGCGGAGCACGCCGTTTGCCGTGCGCGCCGGCGCCTGTACCTGGACAGGTCAAGGCTGTGGGGCACCCGGGCCAGGTCATTGACCAGCCCCTTCTTCAGGAACAGCCGGATGATGTTGTTCATGCCGTTGTGCTGGGTCTTGGCCGCGGCCGTGCTGTAGAAGCTGGAGGTGGAGGGGCAGGACTCCATGATGGTGCTGATAATGCACATCACCGCTTGCAGCCTGCGGAGAGGAGGAGGGGGAGATAGGATTAATATGATCAAGGGGAGGAGAGCGTGGAGAGAACAAACACACAAGAAGACGAGCAAGAGGAAGACGTGCGGGTGCGAAGCGCGCCGCTTACCGCGCGTGTTTCTCCGTGCTCTCGGCCATGGCGAGTGCGCGGCTCAGAGCCGCCTTCACCTCATTCACCAGGGCGACTTGGGCGTCCGTGCCGGTGCCCGCGGCTGCCAGGCTGGCCAGGAACAGCCGCGCCAGGGCGGGAGTGTCCTTGTCCTCCGAGTTCTGAGTGTGGGGGAGCAGGTGGTCCAGCACGAACGCCAGCACGCTGCAGTCCTGGAGGAAGAAAGGACGAGAGCGAGAGGTCGAGACGCTAGCAGACAACAGAAACAAAAGGACAAGAAAGAGGGAGGGAAAGATGGAAACGGAGAGGGAGAAGGAAGGGACAGGAGCGGGAGAAACCCTGACCTCCTTGATGAGCTCGCTCTGGCCGGCCGTGTAGCAGTAGGAGGCGATGAGCGTGGCGATGCCCACATAGGAGCGCACCAGCTCGGCCAGCAGTCGCAGAATGGTGGAGGTGGGCATCAGCGGCTTGCTGGCCTTGGCCTTGACTCGGGGGTCCTCTGCTGCCCGCTCCCCCTCCCGGTCCTTCTTCCCATCGCGGGCCTCCTCCGGAGTGGAGGCTGCAGGAGAGAGGCGGACACAGAGGGGTGAGTAAAATGTGAACATGTGCTCCCCACACGGTAACGCGGCACTGAGAGAAGGCGCGCACGAGCGACGCCGCGCGGGCGTGACCCAGCATGGAGAGCGGGCGCAAGAGAGAGCCGCACAAAGAAACCCAGCTCTTACCACGCTGGGCGGGCCTCCCCATCCCAGCGTTTCGGCAACACCTGGGTACACGAAGCACAACAGAGTACTTTCAGAGCAGAGAGGGAGAGATGCTTCAAGCTGTCGCGGCAGTAAAGCCCGTGACAAACTGGAGAAGGGGCAGAAGGACGAGAACATACAGAGGGTACAGTGCCAACAGGGCCAGCAGACAGGCTTACCCTCTCCCTGTGGGGTGCCGGACTGGGAAGACTCCGCTGCACTGCTGTCAGCTGCAAACACCTGGGCCTGGAGAGACAGGGAAATATAAATTAGTCTTCGGAAAGACCGGCAACCGTACAGACACGCACTGTGAACCTCCCCAACCCCACCAAAACACTTAAGGCACTGTTCAAACACTCGCATTGCGCGCGCACACACACACTGGACTCCCTCAGCACCACTACCCCCTAAATTTTCCCCTGCACCACTCCACAGGCAGAGGGTGGCTCTGTGGCTAAGGATCTGCGCCTGTGGCTGGAAGGTTGCCGGTTCAAATCCCGCAGCTGGCAGAGGAATCGTATTCTGTTGGGCTCCTGAGCAAGGCCCTTCACCCCAACTGCTCCAGGGGCGCCGTACAATGGCTGACCCTGCGCTCTGACCCCAGGCTCTCTCCCTGTCTGTGTGTCTGTGTATCTCATGGAGAGCAAGCTGGGGTATGCAAAAAGATAATTCCTAATGCAAGAAATTGTAAAGGGTTAATAAAGCGATGATATTATATTATTCCCCTCCCTCACTCCTCAATGTTCTCAGACCGACTGGGGGACGGCCACACACAGACCAACCCAAGGCGCACTCCACGTGAGAGAGAGACTGACCTGCACACCACATGCGTGCACTCACACAGACAAATAGGAAAATGGGGCGGCGGGGGGGGGGGGCACAAAGGCAGACTGACATTGATATTGAAGGCCGTCTGAGCGTCGTAGTCGCTGCCCTGGCGGGTCAGTCTGTACTGCTGATAGACGTCATCTCCCACATCCTGCAGCATCTGACACAACTCCTGGCTGCCCGACGCTGCCACTCCTCGGGGCTCCCCGCGCTCCGCTGAGGGGGAGACGGGCACAGGGGGGGGAGGAGGAAGACAGAAAGCAGAGACGAGAGAGAGAGAGAGAAAGAGAAAGAGCATGGGAAAGACATGTTAATGCACATCTGCCACAGCAGGAAGACAGATTTCTGTACTTTTAAAATCCGACAAGACGCCCGCCCCCTCCCCGCCTCTCTCACCCTCCTCCGGGGCGTGGTACGCGGCCAGGGCGTTGAGCATGTCGTAGATGACCTCTTTGATGGGCTCGGGGATGGGCGGCAGTGGGGACAGCTTGAGAGGCGTGGTCTTCACCAGCTGCACTGCATTGGGGCCCTTAATGCGCAGGTTCTCGAACTCGTCGTCGGAGGCTGGGGGGGGGGCAGAGGGAGAGAGGGAGGAAAAACAAGAGAAGGAAAGATGAGGGAGCGATAGAGGGGAAGCAGAAAGAGGAGTGGGAAAGCGGTCTCGGCACAAACTGCCCGGGAAGGCCTGACCCACCTATGCAGTTATAATGAACACATCCGGGTCAATGCATTGCTGTATTTTGAACCCCGTCATTAACTCGCAGCAGACCAGCATGTTTGTTTACAGCTTTTTTTATAACGCCATTAGGTATTTTTTTTGTGTACGTCACACACTCCTGTCACCTTCGTCCACTCTCCCTTTACCCCCTCTGATTTTCTCTACCCTGCAAGAACTTTCCCTTTCCCCTTCGTCTTCCAGAACCCCTCTCCCCCCATTTCACTGCACACCGCAGCGCGCCAGCCTCTCGGCTCGCCCGGGGGGGGGGGCGTGTGAGGTGTCTCGGGCCGTCTTCCCTCTCACCCCTCTCACCGGTCCCTGTTCCTCGGGGTGCAGGCAGGGCAATGCGGATGCAGTTGGTGGCCACTTCGGTGAAGCACTCGGGGTTGCGGCAGGCGGCGGGCCCCAGCACCCGCAGAATGTAGTTGATCTCCCGAGAGCCGAGGCTCCCCGAAACCACGCCGGACGTGGTGCTGCCCGCCCCGCTCGTCACCGCTGACCGCACCACCTGCACGGGCACAGACCAGGCGGGGGAGGTTAATGATATGAAACTAGGCAGGCCCCAGGGAGTCAGATGGGATGTTCTACCTTCACAGCCTAAATAAATCCCGTCTCTAAACCAAGGCTGCCTTTTTTTTATAGTATTTTCACTCCTTTTGGGTGAACAAATGAGGTGCAAATCTAAATAATTGGCTTTTTTCAAAGCTTAAAGGTTTTGGCCAATTTCTTAACTTGAAGAGCAGGAGATTAACTGCTTACATCCCAAGTCCATCCCACAAAAACCTTTCCCCCCCCTCATTCTCCCGACTCTGTACCCTACCACCCTGCCACTTTCTCCACAGTGTTCCCGAGCATGGCGGGGGTCCTCGACGATGTGCCAACTTAAAACATTGTTCAAAGGAACAAGAGGGGGAGGTCCTGTTAGAAATCTGCCTTTGGCCTGGCTCGATTGCACTGTAGCCTCAGTTTAAGCCCTGAACCAGGCCTCTGCTGTCTATATTTACAAAGTCATGACAACACGGGTAAGGAAACTACCTCTGGAGGTCTGTGACACACAGGAGAACTCAAAGGTTAAAACAGACACCTGCTGCGTGCGACTGTGTCAGAAATAACTGGTGTACGCGGCACCTCAGGAGTAACTGAAAGGCAGGGATGACGTGATCGGGAATAGCCACTGGGCCATAAGTGGAGGTGTTTTCTATGATTCCAATACGATTGGCAATGGTCACTCTTAAACCCCACCGACAGGTGTCAGTCTGTACCCCACCACCCTGCCAGTGCACCCCCCCCGGAGGCAGTACCTTCTCCATGGTGTGCTTGAGCGTGGCGGGGTCCTCGATGATGTGCCGGAAGAGCAGGGTGACCAGCGGGGTGAAGCCGTTGAAGCCCGAGCTCTGCGTGAGGCCGAGGATCATGCGCGTGCTCTTCAGCTCGGCGAACATCATGGCGAAGTGGTGCGTGCGCGTCAGCCGCAGGCACAGCCGCAGCGTGGCGTGGAGCGTGTCCGGGTCCACCGGCACGCTGATCATACTGACGCACGCGCGGATCAGGACCGTGGTCATGTCCTCGGAGAGGCCCTGGATCACCACGCCCGCCTGGGCCGGTTCCGGGGGGCTCTCCTGGGCGGGGGCCGAGGAACCGGGAGCAGGACCGGCGGGCCCGAGCTGCACCGGGGCTGGCGTGGGCGTGGCTGCTGGTGCCGAGGGTGGGAGCAAGCTGGCGGTGGCGTCTTTCTCCTGCTGCTGCTCCTTCTCTTTGGTGGCAGGGGTCATCTCTACTGCTGCAGGGGGCGGCACTAGTACAGAGAGAGAGGAGGAGTGAAGGAGACACATGGACAGGGCGGCCAGTGTGTCCACCTGTACTGAAAGTCCAGTGTCAGTACACGACCTTGGCCAGCTACCCTCTCTGCCTCCACCTCCGAAGTTCAGCTTATAAGTTTCTTCCATCGCGTCGCTAACTTTTAAGGTAACACTTTTCAACGTGCAATGACATTCTCCATCACTAGAGATTGCAATAAAATCCTGACCCTTTATTCTAGTTTTGTTACTGCGATATTCAGATAAAATGTAGTTTGTTCGTGCACTGCAGAACATTAGTGAGAGATAATAAGGGGTCAGGAACATGTCCGTTTACATTTTACCCTTATAAAATAACAAGAGCTGCACACCCCGTGGGGAAAAAAAAAAAAAAGATTCTGAACAGGTCCCTCTCTGGATTGCAATCGGAGGGACACCTGCTTGAGCCTGTGCCAGCCTTACCCGTGTCAGGGTGTGGGTTCTCAGCCTTGGCCCTCTCTCCAGCCTCCTTGCTCTCCTCCACTGCCCTCTCCAGCTCCTGCCCGTTGCCATTCTTGGAGGCCTTCCCGATGCGCGGCACACGCTGCACGGTCAGCATCACCGGCCGCCGGTTCCCCGTCTCCTCGTTCACCTGACGAGCGCAGGAGCGGGAACAGAGGGGAAAAGATTCTTTCAGCCGTCTCGGCACTCATCACGCTCAAAAACAACAGGCCAGGATGTTAAGACCTCTGTTTTGACGTGTACATCATACAGAACAAGAGCACAGGACTGAACAGCTTAACCTGAAGTCCAGTGCAGCACTGTGAATCCTGACATGGTGCATCAACACAACCTGGACATCATACCTTGTATGACAGGTAGCAGACGGCTTCATCTGGCGTAGCACTAACCTCACAGCAGCTTATAACAGTAAGCACAGCCATGTACAGCAACAACAGCGTATAGCAGGCAGCAGACGGTTTTGTCTGGTGTAGCACTGGCCTATAGCATGCTACTGAAGTATGCATCACTGTGAATTCTGAGTACAATGTGCAGCACAGCAGCTTACAATAATATATTGCTGGTAATACATGGTTTTGTCTGGTGTAGCACTGGCCTATAGCATGCTACTGAAGTATGCATCACTGTGAATTGAGTACAACATGTAGCACAGCAGCTTACAGTAATGCCCAGCAGGCAGCAGACGGTTTTGTCTGGTGTAGCACTGGCCTATAGCATGCTACTGAAGTATGCATCACTGTGAATTGAGTACAACATGTAGCACAGCAGCTTACAGTAATGCCTAGCAGGCAGCAGACGGTTTTGTCTGGTGTAGCACTGACCTGCACCATGGTGTTGAACTGCACAGTATAGCGCCTCCTGCCTGCAGTGAAGCGCACGCTGCTCTCGCCTCCCCGCCAGGCAGTGTCGATCGTGCTGTTGTTGCTGGCGCTGTAGCTGCACCAGCGGCCCGACCGGTCGTCAAACCAGCGCCAGTTATTACCGTTGGGCTGCAGGTACTGGTGGCGCAGCAGGGCGGGGGTGGTGGGGGGAGAAAGGGATGTCAGATCGAGCAGCGCCAACGTTATCGCCCTCATCGGCATACCCGGGGTCATGATCGCAGTCTGCCTTCACTGTCTAGCTGTCCTCTCATTACTTAATCTGAATGCTTCTGCATCCATTTTCAGCTCTCCTGTGCCTTGAGATGGCCAAGTCACTCATCTTTTATTTCACTAATTTTCAGTTTCTGGAATAAAGCTCTTATAAAGCAAATTATTAGAATGCTCCTGTTCCAAAGACTAGCAGAGCCCTGGTCTTTTAACACCCTTATAAACCCAGGGTTCAGCCTCAGTATTCTCCCTTCTCCTGCACACACCTGCTCTGGAAGGACACCTCCACAGGAGATACCAAACCTGGAAATGAGCCTCTGTTTTTGACTAAAAGTCTCTTTTGCTGTCTATCAGTAAAAGTTAAAAATGTAACAAAGAAAAATTAACATAACCCATCAAACAAAGCATGGTTTAGGAAGAATAGAATACGCAGGACTCAAAGTTCTTCCAGTTGTTCACAACAATTTCTTTGTTTCCAGCCTTTCAGATTTTCTTTTTACAATTATGTTACCATGACACAAAGCCCTGAGCAAACTCTCAAAAACGCAAATTATTGCTGAATTTGCATAGATAAAGCAACTTCAATCAGAATCTGCACTTCACGATGCGATTTTACTCGCGCCTCGTTACACCTGTGCCAGGCAGCTGTGTTTCTCCGCTTTGCCCACCTTATTCATCTGAGCCCTGCGCTTGGAGGACACGGCTGTCTTCTCGTAGAAATCGATCAGCAGCAACACTGGGGTGATCCACCTGGGTGGGGGCAACAAGAGACGGGACACTTTAAAATCTGCAAAGGTATTGAGGGCAATGAAACACCGTGGCACGAGCCTACAGAGTTTCCTTTCTCTTTAGGGATCAGGGAAAACGGTGATGCCCTCCCTCTCGGACCGGACTGTCCAGGCAGCTGCGTCGTCACTAGACATCCACGGAAACAAACCGATCGCCTGCACGAGAGCTGAAACACACCGCAGACTAAGATACGTTGCCGAGCGCAGAGAGGAACCACGTCTCCACTTGGATTAACCCTGCCACAGCGGGACACAGCAAAACCACCTGCCACATGCACTTGCCTGTCCAGGTCAATCCCCAGACATCAGATGGAGTGGTCTGTTTGTGTGGATGTTGTGGGTTGCATATGCATGGATACCATTCAGTGAACACACTGGCAATGCCTGGACAGCATGCTCAGTGCAGGGTTCCCACCCACCCACAAATCTATGTCTGTAAATAAAGGTGAGTGTTTACATTTATAAAAAAGGGTTTAGTGGTGTTAAGTCCACTAAAAAATAAATTGCAAGGCTGTCCGTCTTACTTGGGCGTCTGAACCTCCTTCTGCTCCTTGGCGGCCTGAAGGCAGGGCTGCACCACCTCCAGAAGCTTAATCAGGACATTGAGGATCCCACTGGTTTCCACCACCCGCGCACATGACAGCTTCAGCTCCTACACCGAGAGAGGGAGGGAGAGGGAGTCAGCCCACAGTGCCGGACAGACAGCGGCAGAGGGAGGGAGAGGGAGTCAGCCCACAGTGCTGGACAGACAGCGGCAGAGGGAATAAGCGCACAGTGCCGGACACCGGGAGAGGGAGCAGGTGTTAGTGTACAGTGCCGGACACCGAGGGAGAAACAGAAATGGGCAAGACGAGGATATCACTGGACACAGATGCTGCACTGAGACTTGAAAAAGCAAAAGAGTTAGGCTGATTCTCCACTGGACACCGACACTGCAGACATACGAACAGAGAAATAATTAAATACATGCTGTTGGGCACAAGCACTGAACTTGGGGAGGAAAACGGTGTGTGTGTGTGTGTCTCTCGGTACCTCAAAGAGCAGAGTGAGCAGCAGGATGCGCGTGGCCAGGTTAGAGGCCTGTGGCAGAGTCGCCATTTGGCTGGTCCACTCCGATACGGTCTTGGTGTCGCTGGTGGTAAGCGGAAGGGCTGCTTTGATCAGCACATCGGCAGCCTCCCACACCTGCAGAGAGCAGGAGACACAGGGTGAGCAGTCCTCGCAGACAGGAGCACATAACACTTGTATATTATGGGTTACAATTACCACAAGGCAAATCGTAGCCGTCTCAAAACGTATTAGTCAACACACAGCTTGAAGGTGAAAAGTCGGTGTATAACACAAATACAAATATACCAGTTTTATACCTGAACACTGTGTAAAACAAGTAATAGGTTTATTCCATGCTGGAATAAACCTTGAATTCTGGAATATTCCATATTCAGCATGGAATAAACCTATTACTTGTTCCTTTGCAGCCTACACATGCTGACGCAGCTGCCCACCTGAACTACTACTGTGTAAAACAGGCACATGTCAGACACTTTTAAAGCGTTTCATCGCACTTGTGCACAAGACAAATACGCTGAACAACTAGAGCGCTGGTGTTAGGATGCGTGTATCACAGGTGCACCCCCGTGGCCTCACCTGGTTGACCACCTGGCGCAGGATCATGTCGCGGTACTCGGGCCCGTTCCTCTTGATAGCGGTCATGATGAGGTCGCACACGCGGTACACCGTGTCCGGCAGCTCGTCCAGCAGGTGGAAGCAGCCGGGCAGCATGGTGTCGGTGAAGTTGTGCAGCTCCGTGGAGTCCAGCGGCTCGGCCTCCAGGAAGCGCTCCAGGCACCGCCCCTCTTCCTCCTCCGCCCGCTCCCGCGCTCGCCGCTCC